AGTTCTCTCTACCCTATTTATAAACCTTGACCACTGAGAAAAACTAGGCTGGACAAATTCTCATTGGCATCTTTGGCCAACACTCAAGGTGAGAGAGAGTCTAATCCATCCTTGTGTCTGGGTCCACTCAGAACAAAGGCTGTAACATGTAACAGTGTTTTATTGTGAACTTCTGCAGCTCTCCCATAAGTAGCAGAGATCCTGCACAAGTTCACTCATGATCCCTGTGAAAACAGCTGCAAATGGAACACAAGCTTAAGCGGTCTGTAGTCAATCAGACAAAACGAGCCCAGAAGTCTGGCTCCAGAAGTGGATTGCAGCAGATTTGCTGCAAAATTCCTTCCACAGGATAATCGAGGACCTTTGTGGGACTTTGTTGGGTTTTGAACTTACTAGGTTATTATAAAAAAATACTTTTTTTAATAACTTACTGCATATGCTCCAAAGTTTAAAACTTTCAATCAAGGGGTAAGAAAAAAACAAGCAGGGAGTCGAAAGGAACACGCATTTTATCTGACATTTCCAGTGCCAGGCGTACTTAATTGGCAACTACATTTTGAAGACGGGTAATTAAAAACTCAGTAAGCAAAGAGATCAGACGAGATCCTGGCTTGAAGGTAAAACAATATACAAATAACATGACACAACTGAGAAAAGTTCCGAGATGGACAACAAGGGTGAGCAAGGCTGTGAGATGGGTTCCTACAAGAGGTCAACGTTATTCCTCCCCAGGGGCAGGACTTGGCACTTCCCTCTGTTGAACTTTGTGAGGTTCCTGTCAGCCCATTTCTCCAGCCAGTTGAGGTCCCTCTGGATGGTAGCATGACCCTCTGGTGTGTCAGAGGAACATGATCTCATTCCATTTGAGATGCCTTCAGTTTGGGAAGGAGTTTGAACCTATTCTGTCTGTCCTTGTTTCGGAGCTAAAAGGGCAAAGGGGTTCCTGCATCAAAGTGAAGTTGCCTTGACTTGGTACAGTTGCACCATGCCAACACATTTCTGAGCCATCAAGGACCTCAGAGCAAGGTGATGTGGCATTTTATTTTTAATAAACAACCTGCCACACACCAAATAAATCTCCTATTCCTGAGAACAGCCAGGTTCACAGCTTGGTGAGGAAAGAAACTTTCCTCTCCAAGCAGATGAACCAAGGAGGTTGGGAGAGGCTTTGTCCACAGTGAAAGAGACCAACTGTCTACAGGTTCTTATGGCTTGGAGAAAGACAGGAGTCTTGTGAAGGCACTGCTTGTGATCTTCTGTTCAAAGGCAGGTGGAAATCAGAGGGGAGTCTTTGAGCCAGGATCATGTCCAGAGACTGGATTGAATCGTGGCTGATGGAGGAGGCTGGCATGACCATCCAGCAGCACCAGCTGCTCAGCCATGAAGAGATCTGCCCTGCATCTTGAGCAATCAGACACTGCTCTTCGGGTGGATCAGGATGCAGAGAAACCCCAGCAAAATAAAAACAGAGCTGGCATGTGAAAAGGCACTAGTTCAACTTCTTGGAGATGGGAGCATGGTCTGAAACCTGTTCCCAGCTTGCTGCACCTAGACCAGGGCTCAGGGAGACCATGTTAGAGGGAAAAGTGAGGCTTGTCCTTCCCCTTCACGCCGCTAAGGACTTCTTATACTCTGTCCTCTCTGCTAGGAGGGAAACCACATGTCCCCTCTACTTGCAGTACTCATCTTGCTCCTGAACATTTCCTCAAACGCTCCAGGTGGAGCAGCTGGCTTTATTCACCCTGGGCAGAGAAGGATCTGATGTCTCTTTTCCCCAAGGGTAGTCAGGGCTGCAGCTTCCTTCACCAAAGCACAGCCATGGGGCTCCTCCAAGCCCATCACCACAACGTGCCGAGCAGCCACGCCGCTCTGCGGTCAGCAGCCTCCCCCCAGCTCCCTCCCTCCCTCTCAAGTTTATTTGTTTATTATTTTCATCTCCTTCACAGACCCATCCTGCGTTTCTCCTGCTTCCCCCTCCTCCTCCTCCATCCCTGTCCCGCTCTTCGCCTATTGGTTGCAGGGGCTGCGTTGAGGGGCAGCCCTGGGGTCTTCTATATAACCAACACCTCCGTTCAGAGGGACCTCAGCAAGTCACGAGAGGGAAGAAACATTCCCCTGAGCACCAGCCCACACACAAAAGTGAACTCCAGGATCTACGGTTCTCCCAGGGTCTGCAGGACGTGCCCAGCTGCCCGTGTAGCAGGAAGGAACTGTCAGAGGGAAAGAAACTGATCCCAGGAGCATCCAAAGTTGGTGGTTACAAGGAAGGTAACTTATCTCCTATGAAAGGCTCTGCTGTCCCATGTGTTCATTTGCAAACAAAGTGATTCCTGCTCTGGGGTGAGTTTTTGCACGTTTTTCAGATCCTCCCACTCTGGGTGAGGCGTGGAAGGGACCACAGTGCCTGATCAAGGTCTAGCAGGTGGGCAGAGAGAGGGTGCAGGAGAAGAAATCCAGCACACCTCTGGGGGGGAGGTCCCTCTGCTTATGGACCAGGTTGGATTCAGGTCAAGGAAGCCTCTGGGGACATGGTGTTGTCATCTGCCTTTCTCTCCCCTTTTCCCCACCCATGGCATTTTTGTTGCAAGAGATGTTTGCTCACGGGAAAGGTCCATTTTGTGTTTGGCAAGGTTAGTCTGGCAGGAGAGCGCACGTGGAGCTGCTCTGGAAGGCAGTCTGCCCCGCGACAGGCAGGACAGCAGGCAGCATGCCATGCTGGGAGAGGCTGGATTGAGATGAGGACACCACCTGGGAGGTGGTTGGTTCTCCTGAGCTCCCAGGCAAGAGGAATCCCGATCCCTCAGGGGTGCTGGTGGCACCTTTCAGACAGGGGCAGGCTGTGCAGGGTTATGGCGATGGTTTTCAGTCTCATCTCCTCCCTGGGAATCATTCTCTGATGTCCATGTCATGACTCCGGTGGTTTCAGCTGCCATTTGGACTCAGCACAGCCTAAAGGGCATGTCCACTTTCGTGTGGTCTAAGCTATTTGCTAACAGAAGAGCCCCAGCTGGGCAGGTGGGATGGGGATGTCCCCTTCAGGCACCAAGTCACTTCCCCAGATGATCAGCAACATGAACAAAGCTCAGAGGATTTTGGGTCAAGCAACGCTGACTTTGGCTTCACATCTGCTGGGCACTGAACAAGTTTCTTGCTGTTCCTGTGCCTCAGTTTCCCCCAGCAGTGAGAAAGGGTTATGCTTTCAAGCACTCTGAGATGTGAGAGGCAGTGTGGAGGGCAAGATGTAAATGGGCTGTTGAGCAGGAGAAAACAATGCTTCTCTTTCACTAAATTGATGGATTTCAAAGCAAGATGGGGGAGAAGTGGGTTGTTTGGGTTGTTTTCTGTGCTTTGCAGCTGCCCTGTGGAGGGGCTGGGCAGGACCCAGTGAGCCGTGTCCTGTGATCCTCACTCACATGAGCTCTTCTCTCAAATACCCGGGGGCTGAACGGCCACACCAGGCTCTGTAGTTGGGTTGGGCAGAGAGGAGCGGCCCACTGCTGCAGAGGGCACAGGACACAACTTTCCAGGGATGCTGTGGTACCTCTCCATCAGCTGCTGACTCCTGGAGTCACCGTTGTTCTCCAAGCCCCCAGACAGCACAGAGTAGCAGACACTTGTCTGTGCCATCCAAAGCTGCTTCCTGTGAGCTGCCCAGACCCTCAAGGATCCCAGGCAGGAATTCTGAGCTGGGTTTTCCCTCTCCTATAAGCTGCAATCCTGTGGGCATAGTGGGGAGGAGAGGAAGGCATTGGCCAGGGCACCCACCATGAGACAGCTGCCCCTGGTGTAGCTTGGGCAACCTTAGCAAGGTTGCAGGCTAAAGTCCCTGCACCAAGTCAGAGCAGGTCTCCAACAAGCCAGGTTTGTGCTCCTTTAGGTTATTTATCCATTCTCTCCCTTCCTTTCTTCTACCCCTTCCCAACACAGCAGGGACACACTGCTGGCTCATGGTCCACCAGCACACCCAGGTCCTTTTCCACAGAGCTCCTCTCCAGCAGGTCAGCCCCAACTGGTACTGGTACATGCGATTCACACCATACCAGGACAGTGCTCCAGCCATCCTCAGCTCTCACATCATTGTGGAGCAGCAGCTTAGCTAGTCCTGCCTGAAAGCATTGTCTGAGATTTGCAAAGCAGAACCTGGTGATCACTCTGGTGATATTTATTAGTAGTGCTCCAGCCTTGGTGAGCTTGAGAGGCTTTTTATGGTGCTCAGCAGTCAAAACAGGGAGATTTATATCCCTGAGTATCGAGCTGAATGGGTAGGGTGGGTTTGGAAAGGAAGTGGTTCAATTAATGACGAGAAGGATGGGGAAGGAGGGGCTGCTCTACTCACACATCAATTGGAATAAGATGTCAGGTATCAATAGAGCATTTCTGGAACAACCCTTGTAGTGTTTTCCCATCATGATTCCCAGCAAGACTGTGCACTGGGCAATGGCGTACGGCAGCCTGTGGGATCTGCTGACCAGTGGGATGTTAGTGCAGCTCCAGTTTCCCCGTGGCACAAACTAGAAGAAAAAGTCCACTGGTTCTGTGGACCCCAAGATGGAGTTTGCAGAATCATCCAGATGTGCAAGTGTCAACAGAGCAGGTGCCCCAAAAATGCTCCTTCAAAAAGTTAGAAACTAAATGAGAAGAGTGAGGTGGGCAGAAGAGAAGTCAGGTCTGCTGGGTGAGCAGCACCACCGACCTCAGAAGCTGCGATGACTGATCCAATAGACCTCCTCGAGATGAGGCAGGTGCCCTCGTTTCCTGGAGTGCTGTGTCAGAGGCAGGACACTGCTTGTTTCCCTTTTGGTTTGTGTTTTATTTTAGCAGCAAAGACTCCCACCCACAGGGGTCAGCTGCTTTGACTAGATGGGACCTAATCTGGTGTTATTTCTGATCACTGTGATGATGGACTTTCTCCAGCAATTGCTTTCATTCAGTTGGGTCTTGTTTCTCCTTCCTCTGCTAACCAAGTTCTCTCCTTTGTCCCTTTCTCCATCTGCAGATCCAACCAGGACCCAAGGACATCCCACAAGCACTGCGAGGACTTCTGCAGCCAGCTTTGCCATCTGGTCCTCAATGGCAAGAATCCCAGCTCCCACCACTCTAGCCATTCTCCTGACTTGCCTCTTCTCCAGGGTGCACAGCCAGACCCCAAGGGCTTTCCAGGAGAGCACCGTCCCCTTTGAGGTGCTTAGCCAGGAGCAGGCTTACAATCTGGTCCAGTCAAGCCTGTTCCAGGATGCTGCCAAGTTGTCAAACCACTCGGAGAACCTCTCCAGGAGCCCCATCTCTGAGCCACCCCTGCTGCCCGTGTGCGTGAAGCCTGCAGATATCAGACACATCTTCAAGTACATCAACACCCTCGTGTCCTGCACCATCTTCATAGTAGGTATCATCGGGAACTCCACGCTCCTGAGGATCATTTACAAGAACAAGTGCATGAGGAATGGGCCCAATGTCCTCATTGCTAGCTTGGCACTCGGAGACCTTCTCTACATCCTCATTGCTCTGCCCATCAACGTGTACAAGGTAGGCTCCATGCGGAACGAGTGCTGTGGCAGCTTGGTGATGGCAGGGACGGTGTCTGCTCCCACTGCCTGGGTGCCCTGGGGAATAGTTATCCTCTACTCTTTATTCCAGGCTCCATTTTTGCAAGGGATCTGTTTGCCCAGTTCTGCCATATTTCACAAGTCTCTGTTGTAGGGAGGTCCTATGTATCATAAAAAGGGGCACGTGGGACCAGATGGAGGCTGTAGGAAGGACCTCACTGAGGAAAGCTGGCAGATAAACCAGTCACAGGCTCAGTACCCAGCTCTGTGTCCTGGTCAGGCAACAACCGGGGTTGCACTGAGCTTTGTGCAGAGTTCATGGCTTAGACCTTATCTACAGGACACCTCCTGTTAACACGAGCTGCTGGCTTGGAGACACACTTGGTCATGTCTCGGAGCTGCAACTAGCACAGCTTGCAGCCAACACAAAGAAAAGTCAAGATATCTCGTCCAGGCTAAGGGCAACATCTTGCATTGGTGTTGCCTGCCTTGTAACAGGAAAACTGGGTCAAATCTCCACAGCTGGGACTCTGCTCTGGAGACATCTACACTGACATTTCCTGATTTCCAAACTGACTATGAGCAACCTGGTCCTAAGAGTAGCCCAGGTCCCTTGTGGTATGTCTCAGCAACAGATGACACAGATGGACAACCTGGATGTGCAGACCAAAGGAAAGGGTAGGGTTAGTTGGCTGCCTTTACCTGAGACCCTGATTTCCAGGAGAGCTTCTGGATCAATTTATCTTGCTGCTGAGGCCAAACTAAAGAGCTTGCACAAGGAGCTGGTTCTGAGTAGGAGTAACCTTAGGATGGGCTCCAGGTGTCATGGGGATATAAGGTTTGTGAACTCAAGCTCACTGTCATCCTCATGAATGAGTGGCCCGGAGTTCTCCTGCCTTCTGGGCATCTTGTCCCCACCGGTACCCTCTGCTTGCCCCAAGTGAGCTTGGGGCCAGTGTGTGTGTTCTATAAGGAATCAAAGTGTGGTAAAGAGTCAGAGCATGGTAAGGGCTTAAGACTACCTGGCTTTGAAGGCCACCTGAAAGAAACTCTCCTTGCTGGATTTTGGCTGTTTCAGAGAACAGCGCCCATTTTTCCTCTGAATCACAGAATCCCAGACTGGTTTGGGTTGGGAGGGACCTTAAAGCTCATCCAGTCCCAACCCCCCTGCCAGCAGCAGGGACACCTTCCACTAGACCAGGTTGCTCAAAGCCTCATCCAGCCTGGCCACAAACACTTCCAGGGAGGAGCAGCCACAGCTTCTCTGCCCAACCTGGGACACTGGCTCACCACCCTCACACCAAAGAATTTCTTCCTAAAGTGACCCAAAGCCCATTGCAACCTTTAGTATTCAGATCCCTTCAAAACCATCCAGGGTCTGCAGCCAGGACCTGGTGTTTGGACCATCCTTCCACCTAAGTGTCAGCTCCTCTCACAACTAGCCCTTAGGGAAGCAAATGGTTCCCAGTACAACACAAAATACCAGAGACCACACACTGCCTAATCCCAGCAGAGATAACCTCAGAGTGTTTGTTTTCAGCTGCTCTTTGTGGGCTCCTCACACCTTGTGGGTAACCTCCTGCTGTTACGGGAAGCTGGACACACTTTCCTGAAGCAGCCTGTTAACTCTGCGGTTCTTCCCCAGCTCTTGGCAAAGGACTGGCCCTTCGGTGTGCAGGTGTGCAAGCTGGTCCCCTTCATCCAGAAGGCCTCAGTGGGCATCACGGTCCTCAGCCTCTGTGCTCTCAGCATCGACAGGTAAGAACTTCTACAGCTGCAGTGCCCAACCTGTCCCATATCTGACTACACCATGTCCCTGAAGTGTAACCAAAAGGCAGACTGCAGGGTGGCTTGGTCCCAGACCAGATGCAGAGATGGGGGCAAGGTGCTCTCGTGTAGAGCTGAAATCCAACAGGAACTGGCTCTGGTGACAGAGTTTAAATCCTGCTGGAGAAGGTTGAGTGGAGGATCATGATGTGCTGGAACAGTGGCTTGGGTGGTGGGGAAGGGTGGCACCTCCCCAGTGGTGAGGAGACATTGGCCAGGGACACCTACCATCACATTCATTCATCGAGCTCCTGTTTCTGATCTTTCCCATTCCACTGAAGGGGAAGGTTGGGGGTGGAGGAGAAAGGCATAAGGGAAAGGGTCTTTGGAGACAACTCCAATCTGCACCTTCTCAGCCCCCTCCTGACAGCTGCTTTTCTCTCTCCGATCTGTTCCTGCTGCGTTCCCACACGTTGGGCAGATACCGAGCAGTGGCATCCTGGAGCCGGATCCAGGGGATAGGAATCCCCATGTGGAAGGCAGTGGAGGTGATGCTGATCTGGGCAGTGGCCATTGTCCTTGCAGTCCCTGAAGCTATAGCCTTTGACATGGTGGAGCTCAGCTACTGGGAACAACACCTGTGGGTGTGCATGCTCGCCTCCGAACAGAAGTCCAGCTTCATGATGGTATGTACTCTGTCCCACCACAGCTGCAGTGTGAGGGAAAGGGAGAGACAGGCCACCAGAGCATCCTCCCTCCTTGGTTAGAGGATTAGATGCTTCTGTAGATGGCTTCTAGCCATTGGGGTGAACACAGGGAGAGCAGGACCAGACAAAGCACAGGAGACCCAGCATTGTAGTGACATGGGGCAGACTTGCTTTGAATGTGGGGCCAGGAAAGAGGCAGCTGGTCCTTAAGCCATGTTGTGTCTTCACCATTCACATCAGGAGGTCATGACCCATCTCAAGAAGCTTCAGAACATGCTGCATTGTCCCAGCGGGCCAAAGAGCAACTCCACAACCAGTCTGTGTGGGTAACTTTTATCACAGGGTCAGCTAAGGGTGAGCAAGGGAATGAAGACACTTACAAAGCATCAGAACTCATCCCACCAGGTCTACCAAATAAGCTCCTTGCCACTGTTTCTTGCACAAGAGTGCTGGAGTGGGCTGGCAGCCAAAGGTGCTTCAGCCTTTACATCCTTAAACATCTGCACCAGCCTTGGGGGAAGATAATCCCACGTGCACTTAGCACAGGAGCTGCCACAATTCCACACATCAGAAGTGTCTGATCGAGGCCAGCATCAGTGTCAGGGACCGGGTCAGTTCATGCCCCATTTGCCCCCATCTCCTTCCCCCAGTTGCCAGTTACTCTTTCTTTTGTACGCAGTTCTACCGTGATGTGAAGGACTGGTGGCTTTTTGGCTTCTATTTCTGCCTCCCCTTGGTATGCACCGGCATCTTCTACACCCTCATGTCATGCGAGATGTTGAGCAAGAGGAATGGCATGAGGATTGCTTTTAATGACCACATGAAACGGGTAAGAAAACCAGGAGGGCAGAATCTCTGGTATTTCCTCAAACAGGAGGGAGTCCTGTCCAAGGGGAGAACATGCACGTGTCCCCATGAAGGACACATATGAGCTGGCACAGCCTCACAGCGGAGTCAAAAGGGCTGCCCAGCCCTCATCAGATCACACAAAGTACTTGAAGGGCCCTTGCTCAGCATGGGCAGATGGTGCTTTGCTCCACCCGCTCTCCAATACTCAGCCAGACCATCCCTTCTCCCCTGTCCACCTTCTCTTCACAGCGCAGGGAGGTGGCCAAGACAGTGTTCTGCCTCGTGGTGATCTTCGCACTCTGCTGGCTGCCGCTCCACCTCAGCCGCATCCTCAAAAAGACCATCTATGACCAGACGGACCCCAACAGATGTGAACTGCTCAGGTAGGGGCACCAGCAGGAGGGTACCATGCTGGGAGACCCTGTGGGTCCTGGCAGAGGGTCATTGCAGGCTGGTGGAGTTGCCTTCTGAATGCTTTGTTTCAATAGTTCCTTTTCTAGATGCCATTGCTCTCCTGGTAGGCACAGAGAAAGGGTGTGGGGGACCATAAGAAGAGAAGAAATTAAATTTTGAAATGTCTTTATAAAGTTATGGATTAAAGAGGTTTCCCAGGCAGAGGAACACCCCCTGCAGGGCTAAAGGGACTGCAGCATGTCTGAGGGCTGTGCACACTTTCTGACATGTGGTAGAGTGCCTGTCTTCTCCTCTCTACCCATCATGCCAAAATCCAGTCCAGGCCAGACACTGCTACTGTGCTTGAAGTCACCAGGGGAAATCGGGTCTCGTGCTTTTGGTTTCCTCAGGAAATTCTCCTCGCAAGGAAAAGTGTTGGGCAACTGCCCAGCGGCAGGAGTGACTGTTTTGTGCTCACCTCTTTGTTATCACTGGCCCTCCATGGAAGCAGGTTCTTGGCCCAGGCAGTTAGGAAACCCTCCCTTAGTTCTCCACTCCATGAGCTTAAAACACATCCGCCTTCTTCTCTCCTCTCCCACCTCAGTTTCCTCCTAGTGATGGATTACTTCGGGATCAACATGGCCTCCCTCAACTCCTGCATCAACCCTGTGGCTCTCTACTTTGTCAGCCGGAAATTCAAGAACTGCTTCCAGGTAAGGTTCACCCCTCCAGAGTTCCTGGTTATGGTGACCATTCCCAGACATTGGTGCCAGAGGCACAAGCTCCCATGGATCAGTCATGGTGCAACCACAGGCACCCCCATTGCAGTGGCCTCACCTCCAGCACTGGGGGCAGTTTGGGCACCACAGGAGAAAAAGGATCTAAAGCTGCTGGAGAGTGTCCAGAGGAGGGACACAACATTGGGGAAGGGTTCAGCGGGGAAGGGTGTGAGGAGAGGCTGGAGTCACTTGGTTTGTTCAGCCTGGAGAAGAGGAGGCTGAGAGGAGATCTCCTGGGGGTCTAGAACTTCCTCCCAAGGGGCAGAGGAGGGGCAGGTGCTGATCTCTTCTCTCTGGCCACCAACCAATGCCAGGAGCAGAGGACATGGCAGGAAGATGTGGCAGGGGAGGGTGAGGTTGGCCATGAGGAAAAGGTTCTTGAGGCAGAGGGTGGTGGAGCACTGGAACAGGCTCCCCAGGGAGGTGATTCTATGACTTCTGTGCTGGCAAGGTGAAGGGTGGTTTGGCAAACACACTCAGTGAGCAGCAGAAGAGACAGGTCTGGACCTCACAGCTCCTGGATTCCATACAAATGTCCATCAGGGACACGCTGGAGCTGCCAGCAGCCCACAGGATTCCCCTATTTGCTCACACACTGGTCATATTTCTCCTCCTAAATTTCACCCCTGCTGGGTGCCTCTCTTCCCAGCTTCAAGTACACCAGAGCTCACTGCCCTGCTACGGGGAGGCACACCTATACCTCCCCACATGTCCTACCAGGGCAGGTCCT